CCCCCCCCCCAAAAGTTTCACTTCACGAGTCACGCACACACACACAGAGCCAGTTCATTGAACTCTGCTCAGACGTCAAGGACCTTTGCTTTTGCGTGCATGCGTTATTTCCTCCCTCGGTGAAATTCTGTATTTGCTGCAATATATTTGGTTGCGTAACAAAATGAGGAGCTTTGTATTTTGGTCTAACTTCGCACTGGATATTAAGCTCACGTAGCAGAAGATGTACAAGCCCTTGCTTGTGTTAGTTGGCACCCCTGCCATGTTCATTATTTACTGTGTTTTCATATTTAAATTCGTGACAAACTGCAATGAGTTGTTGGTGCTTAATTCAAAGCCAAATAATAAATTAGATGGTGTCTGTTTGGTTTGCTCTGACTCCTTCTGTCTCAAAAAATACTAAATATTTTGTAGCTATTTGCTTAAAGTTAAGTTGTTTCTGTTTTTCTGCTAATGTCAGATATTTAATGTTAGCAATAATCAGACAAATCTCTCGAAGGATGAGAGGAATGAGGAAAACATCTGCGGATGTTGATTTTGGCCTTATTTTGAGGATAAGGTAAATTAATAACATGCCTTTGGGTGTCAGTAATGCAACGCAGCGCCGAGTACATTTAACATTTGTTTAAAAAAAAAAAAAGAAAAGAAATGGTGCTCTTCAGCCACTCGTCACTGTGGCTGCTCTGTTAAGGCTCAGCAAACAGCTGAATCCACGTGTCCAAGAACAACAGAGTTCAGTGAGTTTGTGTGTATTTATTAACTGTTTCTTTCCCGTCGGGTTGTGAAGTCGCACAAACGGCAACAGAAATATTCCTCTTTGTAAGCTAAGCTTAACAGTAGAGATCCATGCATTCATATTTATCCGTGCTGTTAGGAAAGGCAGGTTTAAATGTAAGTGGACTGATATGTGAAATTTTACTGCATTTAGTTTAAACACACACACACACAGTCATGCATGCAAATCCTCACACACTGGGAAAACATAGTTGACCATAACCACAACAAACTACTGGACTTCTTTCACACCTTTGTTTGCTTTTAAAAAAAAAACGGTGTAATTTGTTTTTGTAAACGATGTTTGTACTGTGAATGTGATTCATTCTCTGACTGTATAGTTGTGGATAATTTAGATGATTATATTTATGCTGTCGGTCTTTCCATTTGCCTTTTTTTTTTTTTTTTTAAATCCTGAATTGTGTTGACATTGTAGAATGCATTAGTGTGTGTGTACTTGACTCACAGTCTGAAAACAATGGTGCTAAGTTTGGACTATGCCTGATCTTATTTATTCTGTAATGAAAACATCAAAAACAAGTCGAGTACTTGGTGCTGTACACAGGGACATTTGTAAAGCCGTTTTTGGCATTTCCTTTCTCATATTTAATATGCTATTGTCTCGTTCTTTCAATGCATCGTGTACAACTGTAGACGCCACCTTTGGATGAAAGTGCTCTCGTGCAGCCGGCTCGGGGTTCGAGCGACGGCCACGGGGCCCCTGTTAATGTTTTAAACATACATCGGCCCGCTGTTGGTGAACAAGACACACTGTTTTTGTACATAAGTTTTCTTTAATTGTACATCTCTGTCATAAACAGAAAAGTATATAAAATAAGTAACTATATACAGTCTATATAAATATATATAAGTATATAAATATATATACATATATATATATGTGAAAGGGGCGATTTGGTGCTGGCATTGTGACCCTTAAATTCACCCTGTAACAGGAGGCTTGAAGCAGAGCAAAGCATTGCCACCAGAGGACCTTAACATGGCTGCACATCAGCACCTGAAAACAAACACACACACACACACACACCCCCCGCAGCCACAAACTCAGAGGCTGTGTGTTTATTACACAAAGGTGCGGCGGCTCGAACGCCACCAGATTCCAGTACTAGAACTGTTATCACTTTTTTCAGGTATTTTCACTTCTTTGATTTGTTGTTGTTTTTGTTTTTGGTGTTGAATTTTTTTTACCAACCCAGATTCTGCAGGAAAAATGGTGCTTCTGTTTCCAAGCGAGGGCAGTTCAGACTTTACAATCGAAATCTTCACTGGTGCATACAGAACTGCGCATCAGCCTCTCTACACACACCGCCTGTAGACGTCTTACGAGGCCGTACCTCGCCGCGTGAGCTGATGTGAAACACTTGTCTTAGTGTGTGTGTGTGTGTGTGTGTGTGTGATATCAGACAGGCTTCCTTTTTTCCTCTGATAGTGGGATTACACTAAAGCTCAGTTTGTACGTGTGTGTTTTTGTGTTTGTTTTTTTTAATTTTTCACTTGCCAGCGCATATCTAAGGGAATATTAGTGTAATAATCAAAGCTTTATAGAAAAATAAAACCGTGTCCCGTGCACTTGTGTGCAAGTGAAGAGAAAAAGTCATTTTAGAATTAGACTAGTCCATTTGTTACCAGCACTGAGAGGTGTTTTGTAATTATTGTTGATGGCGTTTTGATTTTCTTATTCTTGGTGTTTGATACGATTGCAGTCACATGTTATGCTTTTGATTGTGTCTTCAGATTTGTCAGTTTTTAATACTACTAGTCAGACAGCACGGTGCTCTCCTTCACTTAAAACAAGGAAAATCGCAGCTATTGATGAATACTACTCCTCCTGTTGTGCTGCAGGGTTTTATGGTTTAAGAATCTTACACACAAACTCACCTGGTGGCTTTTCTCACAGCCCAGTCTAACCTTTCAATCTTTAATCTGGAGGGACACCGGCGGGCGGAGGGGGGTGTACGTGCCTGTCAGAGCACTTTGAGGAAGGTGGCAGGGATTCCATTCATTACATACAGATTTTAAGCAGTTTTATAGTTTTTAAATGTATTTCTGGGGTGTGATTTGGCTTTAAAGCTGTGCAGTTCTGCATGATACTGCATCCTGGTACATTATTCGTAGATAATCTTTGAGAGCTTTGCAGTCAAGGCTGTTTACTCGAAATCCTGCCAAAGGTCTTAACTCAGGAACTCCCCACACTGCTTGAAAGAACAAGTTTCGTAATCTGCTGCATCTTCTGTTAATTTACCTTCAGGTGGCATGACAAAGTCCCTCTACGACCCAACTCAGGACCAGGGCCACCATTCAGTCAGTGTATTTCAAGGTAAAAATGTATCAGCTGCCCTCATCAGATCTCCTCAGATGCAGTCCTGCTGGCACGTACACCCCAACCCCCGACAATCAGTCCGAGCTTTATGAGCGATCTGATCTCGAGAAGCTGTGAAATGGCTACAACTTTCAGCATCTTCCTCATCTCACAAATGCCTCTGTCTAGATTTGCGTCTCTAAGGAGGAGGTTCGGTGTCTTGTTTGAATCCCTCGTTGAATTGGGGGTAACCTTCAAGGACACGCGTGACCTACAGGATGTGTATAGTGCTCTCTGATTGGTGAAGCCAGGGCAGGTTTGAGGTGCAATAATGGCAAACCTACTTTCCAAAAGGCCCTCGGTTTTTCATGGAAACATTGTTACTGTTTGATGTTGGTGCTTTTATCCTAAGATGTTATGATGAAAAAATGGAATTAATGTTTTTTTTTTCTCCCCTGCAATTTATGATTATTAATAAATTGTTTCTTATAATATTGAGTTTGCGTTTGGAGTGAACTTTGTCCGAGTCCATTTGGTTTGCTGACATCTTCATACCTGAACCATGTTTGAAGCCCCACTACCTAAATCCTAAGTTAGTAGACTTCACATGTAGGTGGCATTTACCTTGTAATGCCGAGTTGGCCTGGCAAAGACTCCAATCTGGCCCGCTCGACAGCAAAATATGAACTTTCACAAGTTTGGTAGTTTTTCCTAATGAAAAGACAAAGTAACCAACAAATATATAAACCCTTAAAATTCTGTTTTCCTTTTTCTATCTACTATTGCAGTTTCCTTTTTTTACAGCTGGTCCACAATATCTGTTGTCCTGACAGATTTCTTCAGTTCATTACAGCAGCATTTCTTTATCGTGTAGAAAAACAGATGTGGTTAAAACTGCACTTCCTGTTTCCACATGTCTCTGAGATCAAATTTGTAGGTAAATCTCTTCAGAGACGGATAGAGAAGCTGCACTGGTCCGGTTCACGTAATTTCAAAGTGGCCTGCATGTGGCCCGCGATGTAAAATAAGTTGATAAAAAATGTGTCTCTGTATAAGATACTGAAGTTTTTGAGAAGTCAGCATCATTAGTGATGTGTGTGTGTGTGTGCGTTAGCTCCGAGAAAGACTAACAGCCTGTTCACTGTGGTCCTGCCCTCCTGCAAGCCTGAGTCAGAGAGATGGATATGAAATTGATGGGTGATTAAAAACCACAATTAACGACATTGTTTTTAAAAATATGTCAGCTTTCAAAAGAAATGGAGAACGTTATAATAAACATAAATGAAGAAAAACGTAGTCCTGCATAAAAGAGCCCCTTCAGTCACTAACTTGGTCACTTGAGCATTAATGGTCCGGTGAGGTCTGTAAAAACAAACAGCTTCTGCTGCTTCAGTTCACAGACATGTTACCTTATTCTGTGTCGAATGCCTGTGATGCCTCAGAGAAAGCCTCCCAAAAGGCTCATGCACTGAAGCTTTCCACCTGAAGCCAGGCCTGTGGCATTCCCCGGTTACCACCTGTGGCTCACCACTGTAGAGAGGTGAATATACGATGGGGAGAAACAGGAGTGTAGATGTTGATTACTTTTTCATCAAAGTGCAATTCTTGTTTCCCACAAGTGTGACTGAAAACATTCAAGCTGGTGTGCTTCAAACACCGCCTTGATACAATGAACATTTCCTGCCATTCCTCACTGATGATTTATAAGGTATGGTGAACCTTGGCTTTATCACCGGAGGAAAACGTCCACAAATGGCTCCGAGACCTTGACTGTCTGCACAACAAGCCTGCAGCTGTGAAAATGCTGAGGGGAGTAACAGCTCCTCGAAGCCGCTCAGGTCTCCCTCTGACAACATGTTTCCTGCTCGTCTTCCAGCGCGAATGCTTCCAGATCTCCGGTGTGGGTTCATTAAGATAACCCATTCTCTTCCCATGACCTTTAATGGTAAGTTCACCCAAAATGCAGGCAGACCACACAGTTGATGAACAATCTGATTTGTTTCTCATCTGACATAGATAAAAATAAATGAATGACATTTCAGTTATGCAACAAACTAAAACAGATTGGAACAAATATTTTGCTCCCGAACGGTTTCTTTTCCACAAAGCTTCTCTAAAAATTAGAAAAAGATATTAACTGAATGAAAATTAAGCAAAATAAAACAAATGACATTATATTTTGTACTTAGAAAACATTAATATAAAAAGTGTTAAAAGACTGCAGTCCTTATAAACCAGATTATTTCCCGGTTTGCAATAGTTATTTTTGTTGTAATTTTAGAAATGTTGAAATGACTCTGGAAAAAAAAATGGAAATAAGGTGAAGTACTGAAGGTTTCATGTTTTAGTTGATCAAATCAAAATTCAGTCGGAGTTCCTCAGGGATCTGTCCTTGGTCCACTACTCTTTATTATGCTCATAATATGTCTTATAGAAACAGATCAGATTTTCATTTAGAGTAGAATAAAAACCTTTTAAAGGTGTTTAGTAGTGTCACTAGTGATCATACATTTATACACGGAGCCGGGGGCAGGAGATGGTTAGCCTGAAGCAGGGATGTCCAACTGATTGTGGATTGTGGGCCACATTCAGCCCGCTTTGGTCTTAAGTGTACCTGACCAGTGAAACGCCCCGCTCTGTCAGAGTAAAGAAGCTTAACTACATGTGAATCTCAATATAAGAAAGTGCAACTTCAACTCTGCGTCTCAGTTTTTCCATATATAATGTCAAATGTCCTCAGTCCCATCCTCTATACCCTGTACGCCCACGACTGTGTCACCTCCAACAAAGATAACATCATTTTGAAATTCGTGGACGACACTGCAGTGATCAGTCGCATCACTGGAGGGGACGAAGTGGCTTACAAGAGAGGTGGCCAGTCTGGTGTCATAGTGTGAGGACAACAACCCCACCCTCAACACTGAAAAGACAAAGGAGATGATAGTGGACACGAGGAAGAAGAGGAGGCCTCACCAGCCGCTGTTTATCCGGGGCCTTGAAGTGGAGAGGGTGAGCAGTTTTAGATACCTGGGTGTCTACATCTCTGAGGACCTCACCTGGACACTGAACACCACACAGCTGGTCAAGAAGGCTCAGCAGCGGCTGTATTTCCTGAGGAGGCTGAGGAAATTTGCTATATCGGCCAAGATCCTCAGCAGGTTCAACAGCTGCATTGTGGAGAGCACACTGACCAGCTGCATCACTGCATGGTACGGCAGCACTACTGCCATGGACCGCAAACACCTGCAGAGAGTGATAACAACTGCAGGGAAGATAATCAGGACTCTGCTGCCCTCTCTGCAGAGCATCTACCATCACAGAGTCCAAAGGAGAGCTGCCTCCATCCTCAAAGACCCCCCACACCCCCAACACGGACTGTTCACGCTTCTGCCCTCAGGACAGAGGTTTAGAAGTGTGAAATCCTTCAACTCCTTCTTCCCCACTGCGATCAGACTCTTGAACAAGCTGACCTATTTCACACTTCACTATATTGTCTCCTTTTCTGTCTTTATTTATTTATTTGTACTATTTGTATTTATCTGTTCTATTTCTATTGTATATATTAATCGGTATCTGTGGGTGGACAGCAAAGATGAAGACAAATACCTTTTGTCTTTGGACACATAGCAATAAACACGTAAACAAGTAAGCAGATATACCAAAACTGCAAAGTGTTTCTTTAAAGTCGTTTTGAGCTTTGTTGTCGACGTGATGGAAGCAAACCTCCAGTTCTACTGTCCTCTTTGTTTTAAGTTAAGCAGCGTGCATATTAGCTCTGCAGCCACGAAACATTAAACAACACTCTTCATCTTTCAGCCTGGCGTGTTCTGTGAAAGGTTTGTGAGAAACTTTCTTTCTCAAACCTGTTTGTGTCTGCTAGATAAGGATGTTCAGTGTCCAAAGTCATCTTCTGTTTACATCTATGTCCCGTTTGCTGTCTGATTTTAGAATGTTCTCTACAGTCAGGTTAAAATATCTCAAATACTGATAATCTCAGTCATCAAGGACACACAGTGCTGCTATTTTGGCAGAAAGGGGACCCCAGGTGGTGAGAATGGGAGGTCCGAGGATGTAACTCCCATCCTGTGAGAGATCTGACCACACAGACGCACGCGCAGACACTGCAAACATGTTGAGTCTGCTCGTTCTTTACAGCGAGGCGCTGACGCTCTGCTGGACCCTGCAACCGGCCCAGGACCCCACAGTAACCGGTCAGACGCCGCTCGGCTGATTAATTAATAACTCGTTAACTTTGAATGGAAAAATGCGAGCATGTGGTTATTGCTTCAGAATGGTTCTTTAGTGCGTGAACTAATTTGTCCGTTTCAGAGTACTCACTCCCATCAGCAGCAGCAGCAGCGCCTCATGCTGCACCATGCTTCGTGGAGGACATCTTTGCAGCGTTGCGTGAGGGTGTGGGGGACAGCGGCGAACTGACAAACAGCAGTTTGGTTCTGTTTGGATTCTGCTCGCAGTCTGCCCACTCGTCAGCCTCGGTCTCGTTAGACCTCGCTAACAAGAAGAGCAGCTTGGAGGTTCTGCACCCAGCTGCAGGTAAAAGCCGAAACCGCATTCTTGCTATTTTTCTTTCTTCACTTTGTAAATTGTTTGGTTTTGTTCTTTTAGTACATGTATCAGAGGAAGAGGAGCAAGGAACAATCACGCTGACCTTTGACCTCCCACGGTCTCCTTCGCTCAGGACGAACCCCGTGCTGCTCTTGGCCTTTGAAAGTCCACTGGCACGAGGAGACCTGGAAGTTGCTTTCACTAGTCGGTCTCTGCAGCCAAACACGCAGGTAAAGAGAGCTCAGGTGCAAACGCTGCTTCAAGGATGCTGTCAAACATAAGGCACGGGAGCCAGATTGGGCCCAGCAAAGACTTCACACTAGACGGCTTTGAGCTACTGGACGTTTTTCTGTAATTTTGCACATTTATTTCCTTCATTTACTACAGAAACTTTTCTCTGTCATGCACAAAAACTGAGGCTTGGTGTACAAATTGCACTTGTTTTTTTCATATTAAGATGTCTCAGTAATGAAATGTGCAGTTAAACTTCTCACACTCACTGAAAGAGGAGTTTGACATCGAGCTGCATCAAGTGGCCCTCAATGTAAAACGAGTTTGCCATCCCTGCCTTGGGTGATAAAATGTAATGAAAGGTTTGCAGATCTCTAACTCTGGGTTTTTGTGTTGCTTTGTTTTCCAGGCTGTGTGCATTTCAGGAGACACGCAGTATGTACTGCTGACAGGAAAATCATCAGAGGGGAGCGTTAATGACAGGTGGCAGATTACTGCTGAGACAACACCCCCTCATATGAGTGAGATATCATCTTCTTCATTTTATTTCCCCATCTGTGGTTCATTGTGTACCCTCCTTACATTTCCTCTCATTGTAGAACAAAACCTAAAAAGCATCTTGATTGGTGAAAAATCAGGAAGTAACATCAGCATGAGTCCACTTCTGTTTTTCTCCGGGGGAACGGGAACTGATACGAGGTCGGCCCGGCTTTCTTTCTGCTGACATTCACTGTCGTCAGAGACACGTTCAGCTTTGTTTTTTTGTTTGCTTTCCCAGATGTGCTTCGGGCTCGCCCCCGGCATCTCTGCAAACCTCCTTCCTTTGTGAGATGAAACGCTTCCTGGGTGGTGTTCTGCCTCAGGAACACTTCGCATCCCCTCCACTTCCTCTGGACTCCTTACAGTCTCTGCCTCCCCTCTCGCTTGGCTTATCCTCCAGCGAGACCCTGCTGGCAGTAATGATCAACTCCACAGCTCCCACAGTCTTTGGCTTCACGAGCTGGAGCTCTGTGTCGCCGGTGTGCCACGGAGAGCTGGCCCTGTCTGCTGCACTGTTAGAGGAGCTCAGACAGAAACTGGACCAGACTTTGGTGCAAATGACAGATCTAATCAGAGAGGAAGAGGTTTCACCGGGAGCCAAGGAGAGCCTGGGGAGGCTCAAAGAACTGAGTGCGTTACAGAAGAAAGAACATGCCACAGGTGACATGTGCAAGAACAGTTATAGTTACATAGGAAGCATCTTTTTTTTAAATGAAACAACACCCTGCTGCACAGTCGGGTGCATTTAACTCATTCACTGCCATTGACGTCTATAGCCGTCAATTGCAGTGCATGAGTCAATGGGTTTAACTCATTCACTGCCAATGGCTGGCAGTGAATGAGTTAAGTATCCCTCTGCAGCTTTCAGCTTCCAGCTTTAGGAGATGTTGGGTGGAGGGAGTGGCCACGGATTCTCTAAACCCCATTTATAACAGGCCTTACAGTCAAAGGTTTATGGGCCAAAAACAGTAATCATGCTGCAGACTGTCTGTTCAGTTCTACAGCGGCCCCAGTGACCTATGAGTTCAGATTATTTTAAGTCTTGTGCACAAACAGATTCCTATTATTCAAATTTTTAAAGTTCTGAAGACAGCAGGTTAAAAAATAAATAAATTCGATCTCATTCATCAAAAGAACAAAAACCTGGACATGAAATATTTAGATATCAGCAGATGTCTTTAAGAAAACTAATCATGTGAGTGTGTGTGAGCTTGGCTGACGTTCGTTTCTATTATTATATCATTTGCTGTTTTGTCAGTGGTAAAATTTGGATCTATATTAACCAGTGACCTTTGACATATATAGATGAGCAACTATATTAAATTTAATTTGATTAGATTTTGTTATTTTGTCATTTTGCTCTGCTGTGTTCATCAGTTTATCAGCTCCACAGACTCTACAAACTGGGACTCATTTCCACTTTTGCTTTTTGCTTAGCGTGAATTTTGTCGTCACCGCTGTACAGGTCACGTATATCCCCTTTTTAAGTGCTGCATGTGTTTTCTTTCTGCGTCCGCCAGGAGGGAGTCAGTTCCGTGCGTTTCTTCTGCTGAAGGCTCTGCAGACGGTGGCCCAAACGTACGACGCGCAAAGAAAACTGCGGGCCACCAGAGCAGACCCCAGTTCGTCAGTGAGGGGCAGCGTCTGTGGGCTGAGGGCTCTCACCGTGTCCCTGACGAAGCTTCTTGTCGGCCCAAGCAGCGCAAACATTAACAATTGCCACGGCTCCTGCGCGTTCCCTCTGACCAACGGCAACAACCACGCCATCCTGCTCAACTCCCACATCGAGAGCGGCAACGCGGATGAGCGTTCGCCCTGCTGCGTGCCCGTGGCCTACGAAGCCCTGGAGGTGGTGGACTGGAACGCAGATGGGACCTTCATCTCAATCAAGCCAGATGCGGTTGCGAGAGAGTGTGGATGCCGCTAGAGCTGTTCTCTACAGCTACTTTACCCCAGCATTTATAACTTTCACACAACTGATAGTTATGTGCATGTTTCAGTTATGAAATATCAATTACAATACACCACATGTACTTTTAATTAAATATAACTACTTTTATGCTTTATTAAAGATCACAAGTCTTAAGATCACAAAGTTGATGTGAATGCTATTCATGTTAAGATATTTGATAATTAGTGATGCTAAAATGAATCAGATCTTGTCATTTTGAAAATATTTTAATTGGAATAATGTTTCTGAGTGTTAAACTGTTAAAAGGATGAAATATAGCCTTCTCAAACTTGTGATAATTAAATGCAAAGTGTATTTAAAGTTCTGTATTCGTAGCCATACAGCTACATAAGCTACAGTATATGTTTTATGCTTTGATTTTGGGTTTCAGGATTGCTTTATTAGCAACTGGCTTCTTCCTTCTTCTAATCGCTCCGACTTCTTCAGATCCCCACCACCGGGTGAAGCTGTCCCATATGGAGATCTGGAGGCAGACAATGGGAGACAAGACACGTGTGATTCCATATCAACCAGCCCTAAATACTGTGGAAATCCTATACTGTTGCATAATAAAAATTCTCATTTATAATAATATTTGAGCACGTGATATTTAAAGAGATGATCCAAAGTCCAGTTTATTTTCGGTCCTCTGAGCTGTAGAGCTGTTTGTCCAGCTTGAGCAGTTTAGTGTGCATTTCCTAGATTTGGAGAAACCGGCTGTAGACGTTTCTGCTGTCTTTGGAACATTTATGAAAATCATTAAGCACACATCTTGCAGTACCAAAAATACAATAATGACTCTGTTACTCTCAAAAATAGCTGCGAAAGGTTCGGCATCCATCACCCAAAGAAGTATACACTAACCTGTGATAGGCAAGGTTATTACTGTTAACTAAAACTAACTTGTTACGCCCCTCTGTAGCCCCTAATCTCTTTGCAGTGGCAGTGCAAGAGTGTTCAGCTGTTGCTAATTGACCACACCTTATACTGTACATACTTGAGGCAAGTTTTCATGGAGGTGCACTAGTCTTTGTCTTAGTGGTACCAGCTATTTTAGCTAACTTATCATATAATTTAAAATAAAAAATAAAATCTTCTTTGTGAAATTCTGGTGTTGGTCTCCATATTTATGTTGCAGCTTTTGAGCTGGCTCGTAACATAACTAAAATTTTAAATATAGAGGAAATATTGTGGAGTTTTAGCATCTGTTAATCTTGTTTAACCTGTAAGTTGATGAGGTTTTGATAAATGTGTTTGATGCTTTGGATCTTTACCAGACAAAAACTTATAGTTTGATTGAAATAGATGTTCTGCTTTTTCTAAATCTTACCTCTGACATACAATAAAAGATAAAAACTAACACTGCACCGAATAAAAACTAAACATTTTCGAACAGTAAAAACAAAAAGTCAAAATACAATAAAAACTTATTAGAGAATACAAAAAACTATAATAACTCTGGTGACAGGATGTAATCGTGGCACCCCCCCCCCCTTCAGCTGAACTGCAGCTAGCTGCAAACCTCTTTTGGTTGGTATTTGTAATTCTCTCAAAGGAAAATACTTTCAGCATGAAACTGCTCACAACAGTCTCATTAAGGCATACATCTCCAAAAATGGGAAAATCACACCGAAATAGTCCAGATGGGTGCACAGATGATGTCATCTAGACACGGGACGCACTCTGATGTCTTTAACGCTCAAAAACATGTGGAAGAATCAGAAACATGTGACCTTGATTGTAGAACATAGCAATCTCGATGTATGTAAAATAAGACGCACTATAAGATACACTTCTAATGTTGTTCTTTTAACACACAGAAGCTCCAAATGCTGTTCACTGCTCTAGTCTACAGGATCACCAGTCAGCTCTGCTCAGTACACCAACACGTGCACTTTACACAGTGTTTCATGCTTTATGCTTTGGGTTGAACAGATACTGCTACTGTCAGTCTTGCAAAACTTTCTTTTTTCAGCTATGAGAGGGTAGGTTTGCTCATTCAGTCTTTAAAAAAGAGGAATAAAATTGTTTAAACCGGTAAGATTACATGTAAGGGGAGTATGGAGCCATCCAGTGGTTCATCAGCTGTGTGTTGACCGGGTATTTGTTAATTCTCAGCCATACAAACGGACACTTTACGGTTCCCTTATTTCCAAATCTGACAAAGACTTTCTCAAAATCTCTGTGAATTTACAGCAGGCCCATTATTCTCCATTTTGCCCTGTTTATCCTACTGTTGTTGCTTTATGATGCCAGGAGAAGCAGATATCACTAATATGGCCCTCTCAGACTGATAGCTTGTCACTGAGATGCTTGAACACCAAGAGAAGAAGATGGATTACGGCTTTAAAGGCAGAAAAGCTAAAATGGCTCATTTCACACAGCGGATGAACTGAAGGGTTGCCCCATTAAAGGATGATGTTTAAGATATATGATTAAAAGTCCAAGTACTAAAATACCGAGCTGGAAATGAGCACGACTCTGTATTCAGCTGTGGCTGATCCAGAAAACCGAGTAAAAAACTTTACTGTCGATCCATCCATCTACTTTCCTCTGCTTAACTGGGGCTGGATCGCGGGGGCAGCAGCCCAAGCAGAGAATCCCAGAACTCCCTCTCCCCAGCCACCTCCTCCAGCTTATCCAGGGGAACACCAAGGCGTTCCCAGGCCAGGCGAGAGATATAATCTCCCCAGCGTGTCCTGGGTCTGTCCCGGGGCCTCCTTCCTGTGGGACCTGCCCGGAAATCTCACCCAGGAGGCACCCAGGGGGCATCCTTGTCAGATGCCCGAACTACCTCAACTGGCTCCTTTCGATGTGGAGGAGCAGCTGCTCCACATCGAAAGGAGGAAAACTTTACTGTATCTGTAAATTACACATAAAATCACCCTCAGTCTTTAAACAAGAACAGTTGCAGGCTAACTGACAGAATCACGAGAAACCATACCTGTGTTATTGAAGCACTCTGCAGACTTCCAAAGAAAGACCACACACTTGTCTCTTCAACAAAATAGTCCAGAGCATCTAGAAAACACAATCGCACGAAGGACTGAGAGCGTGTTACACAGAAGCTGTCGGCTGTTACAAATCACAGCAATCTGTCAGAAACAAGCTCAAAACATGTCTGATGGGGGTAAAGAGACAGTGCACTGGCACTCACCATGCACTTCGTTAACTCCTGAGCTCACCAGTAGCACAACCAGCGCCGCCACTAAACAGCGGTTCACAGTGAATCCTTTCCACGGATTTGGAACATCGCTCAGATTTTCAATGCACAGAATCCGCTCATAAGACACTGCAGACAGACACGAGTCAGACACATTTAGTCCATGCTCAGTTTCATCAGTCTGGTGGCTGTTTAGTGAAACATGTGTCTTACTCGTGAAGCCTTCAGACAGGCCTGCTCCAGCTTCTTAAGGCTGAAAAATAACACTGCAAGATGAGGAAAGATTCGGTAGGACTGTGTGGTTGAGATTTAGTAAAATAGCAGTACACAGAATACACAGAATGATCACACGTGGGGTTTGTATAATCCTCGATATCTTATATCTGTGATCATATTCCACTTTCCCCTGTACTGCCTTTTGCACCCTCTTCCAAGCCACACACTAACATGTGACACTAACACAGCTTAAAATAGGCACACACAGCTCTTTAGAAAGACAAATATGGAGCTCAGGGTTTAGTTTGATATGAACCTCTGGACAGAAAAATATGCTTACCTGATTTTCAGTTGTGCTTAACCACAGAGATGAGGGATAGTAGAGCTGTGCTGCTGCAGTTGTGTACACGCTCTGCACCTGCTTCTTTGCTTGATTGACAGGCACGGGTGTGAAAACAGGGAAAGGGACACTCAAACTTAATAGCAGTAAGCCAGTAGGTGAACGAGGATTAGCAACACCCGCCTTCCAGTGCCATGAACACTCCTACTCCTCCACAGCTCAGAGGCAGATAAGCCAGAGTTACCAGGGTGGTTTAAAAGTTTACTTAATTATGAGGAGGTCCTAAAACACAACACATTGTTAAAAGTTCATCACATAATAAATTAGTCCCAATTCATTGATTCTGTATGTTACTAAATTCACATGACACTGATGTGTATGATTGGGAACCTGCAGTCTCAGTGTATCGCTGTATATAGTGTCAATAAAGGCATCATCAGCAGTAATAACTTCTCCTTCTTCTTTCAATTCTTCTTTTGGCTGCTCCCTTCAGGGGTCACCACAGCACATCATCTGCATCCATGTCATCCTTTACCTACCATCATCCTGTCACATCAACTCTCTGCAGGCCTTCCTCCGGCCTGGCAGCTCCATTTTTAACAGCATTTGTCCAGTATATCCATATCCCTGCTCTGCACATGTCCAAACTTTGTCTGAAAAAATTACTCAACCGGAGCAGTCCAGTCTTTTTGATCAGCAATAATAACCTATTACTCAAATATGTACTCGGCTAAACCATGGTCTACTGTACCACTGCACATGGTTGAAATGACATTAGAGCCACTTGACTTGGCAAAAATGATACAACTCAATTCTATTTTTTGGAATAAATTATATATATAAAACAAAAGACAAATAGAAAAAGCTATGCTAATTCTACACAAAACAAGACCGTCTGCAGTAAGTGGGTAAAAAATTTTTATATAGCGCTTTTCATAGATAAAAAAATCACAAAGTGCTTTACAGTACAAGAAATGGAAACAATGTAACAGTAAATAAAACAGCAAGGTAAACCAATGAAAAAACAATAAAAACAACGTAAGAACAAATTAATCAAAAGCTTTTCTATATAAAAATGTCTTCAGCTGTTTTTAAAAGATGTGCCCAATCTAAAGCCAAATCTAAAGCCCAATGTATTACTACTTAGATATTCTTTTGTGATATAAATCTTTTTATTCTGTACGCGTTGTTTTATTGTTGTATATTTTATTACACCGTAAAGTGACGGTACTGAGTAACTGCGTCACATTTCGACAGTAAACGTCAGACTGACAGAACACGCCTCTGCCAAATACCGCAGCTCCCCGCTTGTTAGCCCAGCATACGGTGACGAGGAGAGGACAGAGGGAGCAGCTGGTGTGGACGCTGGCCGGATGGTTAAATCTAACCTACAGACGATTTTGAATAGTCACTGTTTTGCTAGAGAAAAAGAGAGAAACTTACCCGAGATGCCTGTTATCGAGAAGTCCAGTAATAAACCTGAAAGCGAAAGGTATGTTGTGGTCCGTGTCAGCTGCTCTCAGTGAGCTAAGCTAAGCTACGTTTAAAAACCGCGGCCTAGCTTTCGCAAACGCTGTGGGGCGACTAGCACAGCCTTTCATGTTTACATAACAGCGACACTTATTTCAGTTGACATTTCTAGAGAACATTATTAATCACAGGTAGCTTATTTCAATTCCTTAAAAGATTCATATTAATCACCTTAAATACACCGTAGTACCGGGATTATGACCAAAATGTTAGAAGTGACAGCGCCGCTTTGGTAGCTTCACAGATGCTAACGCGTCAGCTAATATGTCAAACGCCACAGGTTCGCGTTATCGATGGCTGGGCTAACGTGTCGTAAGGTTTTCTATTAAGACCTGGTTGCGAC